TTCACTGGCCATGAACTGTTCCTTCATCCCATTCCAGTCACTACCAGCATAACTTCCTGAACCTTATCATCGCAAAAGTGGAACCTATTTGATGAACAAGTGAGGAATTAACCAGCCTGTTTCTTTTAAAAAGATTTATCACATGTAGTCAGATACTTCCTACCAAACTGTCTTTCAGAGCCATGGGGGATTACATGAACAGTAATAAGGAAAGGGTCTTTCCCTCTCACTGATGATAATTTTGGCAAAATCATTATATTAAAAACCTAGGAAAGAATGTATTCTGAGATTTTGGAAACTTGACTCTGCATGGAAACCCACCCTCCACACCTGACACCGTGACACTCTCATGCTGCAATCACTGCTACCAGCCCACCTGCTGGAGGACCACCTGTTCCAGGAACACCTGCTGTCAGCCCCCCTGATGGGGGTCCAGCTGCTGTAACGAAACCGGCATGGGGTCCCCCTGCTGCCAGCCTCGCTGCAGACCCAGCTTGTGTGCTCCCTCTCGGGATGGTCCCTCTCCAAAACCAGACGCCATGCTGAGGGGAGTGCCAGCTGTACAGAAAGGCCACGTCTAGGCACTCGGGTTGATGACAGTCCCAGCTGAGCCCCTCCCAGGCATCGCACACATGAGTAAAGAAGCTAAGTCATTCCAGCCTCTAACCATCTGAGTATTTCCAACTGAGGTCCCAGAGGCCATAGAATTATGTGTACAAAAACATTTCCAGCTTGTACAGAACAGTACAAAGACGATACGATACAGCATAAGAAGTGTTCGGACCCCCAGAATTCTGCTTGCAGAAAATAGACTGAGATTAGTGCTAGCAATAAACTTGTGCTATTTCTCATGAAGAAGGAAGGATAATTCAGAGAAACAAGAGCACAGAAGGCAAAGCCAAGAACTATGGAGAATTATTCCCAGGCGTGGAAACCTAATCAAGGAACTTCGAGTATTTGCCCAACTAGCTTTCAGAAATAAACCGGTAACTGCTTTATATTCCCCACTCTCCCCACCCTTAGAAAAGATATCTCTACATCAATTATCTTATGCTTGTCCCACTATTGTATGCTGAGTGTGTGAGAGCCAGATAAATGTGTCTTTAGTTTCACAAGTCTACAGATCTAGAAGAATTGTACTCTGGAAGTTGTACATAAGGAGCTATGCCCAACGAGATTCATCCACACTTGGACCTGATTTCAATGATGAGATTCTAGACTTTGAGCTTATGCTGTAATCAGATGAGATTTGGGGACCTTAAGAGGGAGGGATTGTAGCCCTCACTGGTGTGGCTCAGTTATTTAAGCATCGCCTCTCACAAGGCGAAAGGTCCGGTTCAATTCCTGGTCAGGACACATGCCTAGGTTGCAGGTCAGGTCCCCAGATGGGACACGTGCAAGAGATAACTGATCAATGTTCCTCTCATACATCACTGTTTCTTTCCCTCTCTTTCTCCCTCCCTTCCCCTCTCTTTAAAAATAAACAAATAAGAAAGAGGGAGTATATTTAACATGTGAATCATTGCGGAAGTAAAAGAAGCCTAAGATGACTTCCAATTATCCCCAGCTCCGGGCTTTCATACCTTTGGGGAGTCCCTTCCTCTTGAGTGTGGGCTGGATTTACTGACTTGCTTCTAATGAACAGAGTGAATGCGGTGGGACCACCTGCTTTGGGAGAATCCAGCTGCTATGTTGCGAGAGCAATTGGCCACTGAATGGAGAAGCCCACGTAGCAAGGAAATGATATCACTGGCCAACAACCAGCGAGGACCTGTGGCCTGCCAACAGCCACAGAGGGAGCTTGGAAGCGAGTCCTCCCTCTCCAAGCCATGAAATGACTGCAGCTCCAGCCAGCACCTCAGCAACTACCTCATAAGAGACCCTGAGCTGGAGGCAGCTGGCTGAGCCACACCTGGATTTCTAACCCACAGAAACAAGGAGATAACGATGTTTGTTGTTTTAGGCCAAGTTTTGGGGTCATTTGTTATTCAGCAATAGATAACTAACATAATGAAACGATCCATGTATCAAAATGTAATTTAAAATTGTATTCTTAATAATTAATAAATTATTATATTAATTGCAAAGCTTAATTATTACAACAAATCTTAATTCTTAATGAAAAATTTATTCTTTTTTTAAAAGATTTTATTTATTTATTTTTAGACAGGGAAAAGGGGGAGAAAGAGAGGGAGAGAAACATCAATGTGTGGCTGCCTCTCGCAAGCTATCGAACCAGCGACTCTTTGGTTCGCAGACCGGCACTTAATCCACTGGGCCATACCAGCCAGGGTTGAAAATTTTATTCGTAAAAGCAATAATTAAGGAATAGGTTTATTTCATAATTTTACACTATATATATATAAATTCTTAAATTCCCAAACCTTGATACTATGTATATTTTTTTGGGAAACGTAGGTTTACAGTTGTGAGTAGGCAAAACATCGAGTTTGTTCTTGCATTATGATTTATTAATTACTGTGTTATTTTCCATATGAATAACTGTAAATCTACATTCGCTCCTCCCTTTATAGTTTGTACTTCTACCCCATCGAACCGTGACTAGAAAGGCATACCAGGTTGTCCCCGAGAGGGGAAGAAGATAAATGGCACTGGAGAGGGTGCAAAAGGGCGTCAACTTTATCAGTAACGTCGTATTTCTATCACATCTCCTAAAGCTCCAAAGCAAGTGTAAGAACATGTCAATTCTGAGTGTGGGGTTTGTCATACGTTTCTCAAAACTTCCCTGTATTTTCAAAATCACTCCCTACCCAGGACGTAAGTGTAAGTAAAGATTTACTTAAGAGCATGTTCAGACTCGGCAGACCATTATTTATAATGGGAGGTTCGGCTGCTTTATGGGCAAGTTCTAGCAAACCTAAAAGAAGCTCATAAAGGCTCTGTTATTTAAACTGTTGCCAAGCAGAGGAAAGATACAAGGCTTCCCAACACGCCTCTTATACCTGACAGGTTTATAACATGAGGCTTGTGTGTTAGCAGACGGCTGGTGGACAGCGTTTGCCAGTACAACAGAGAAATCCATAACTGGAACAATAAAAAGAATAAGATAGGCTTAGATAGATCAAAACACTAGTGCAAAGTATCTCAAGAATCCTAGTGTTAAGAAGTAAATTATTGAAGGAGACGTAACCCCTTCAACTTGTAACATAAGGGACGTTGTTGAAAATTGCGTTCAGGCCTGCAGTGAGCTGCGTGAGGCTTCCCAGAGCCCCATCCTTCCTCAGGCCTTTCTGACGCCTTCATGGAAGATGCAGGAGCAAGATTTTAAATAGGGGACCCATCAAAGTATCACTCCTGGAAGGCATTCCATCCATGGTTATCCTTTTGAGATGCCAAGGGTCCCTCTCTCCCTGTCTCCTCTTGTTAATTTTCTTTTTGGACTTCAGACTTCAGTTGCACGTAATTGAGTCAATTATATTCCTTAGGTGGCACATTATCATTTTTAGTCCTTGCAAGTTCCCTCTCTTGTTTTTTTTTTTATGTACTTATATATTAATTAATTTAATTCCTCTTCCCCGTATACAGCACTCTCTTCCAATAGGCAGAGAGGAGTGTATAATTCTGTTTAATGCACATTCTTCAGCCAAGAGCCTTCAGACTTCACGTTCGTCTTTGGCTCTCCTGTGTCTCCAGCTGCAGGCCCGTGCTATAGATCACAGATTTGGACTTGCCAGCCTCCGTAATCACATACGCCATCCCTTTAAATAAATAAATACTTAAATATTTAAAATATACACAGTTTTCCCTCTGGAGAAGCAGACTAATACAATCCCCCATGGAACGAATCAACCCCGAGTGCCTCCCCGCTCTCCTCGTGGCAGACCACAGACTGTCTTTAAAATCTGTGTCATCACCCAAATGCCACAGCGCATACGCTTCTATGGGCCTGTGTGAGAATTTTGGGGTTTCAGAGCTGCGTCACTTTGCAGACCCAGCGCCCCCTGATTAACGGGGAGGCCAGAGCCGCTTGCAGAAACTGTTGCTAAAGCACACACTGCGAAAGCTCATCTAAGCTCCCCCGCCCCCACCCCTCCCACCCCCAGACCCCAGGAAACCAACCCAATCAATTTTAAAAGGTTTAGATTCCATAGTCATACACTGGAAATACAAAACTTGTCAGATGTTTCCTAAGACTAATTGTTTGTAAAACTGTTTTGCAAACTGTCAAAAAGGTAGCAAACAACTGCCAGACGTTTCTAAAGAGTTTTTTATTTTATTTATATTGGCCATGAGCAAATTGATCATTTAAACAAGTTTTAAGTGAATTAACTCTCAGCTGTTTTCAAGGGCTGAAAACTCATGTTTATTTTAATCTATGGCTTCCCTGGACCATTTCTGCCTTTGGCTTCCCAAGTCCATTCACTGTGGGGAAACTGAGGACACTCAACTCGAAAGAGTTCTTGGTGGCATAAAGGTTGGAAGCCAGGGACCCACTGTCCTCACTCCCTTCCCGCTTGAGCGCCTGTAATCCTAGACACCAGCTGCCCTTGCAGATCAAATGCAGACACCCCCCACCCCCGCCGCCCCGGCTCAGGGGGCCCAAGCTGTCCTGGTCAAAGGTGACCTGGAGGAAATCTCTGGAGGGGAGTGCTGAAAGGAAGGAAAGCACTGAGAGTCTTCCTCATTATGCGTAGCCAGTCACATTTTAATTAGCAGTTGGCAGCAAAGGAGTGCTTTTCAAGACTGGGAAGCATCAAAAGAAAAACTGGAAAGAAGGTTTTGCAGAAGTGAAATGAATTGACACCAGGAAATGCAAGCTATTGTGTGGACCCTGCGTGCTGAAAGGTCCTCCTCAGTGCAGAAGCATCTCTCAGTGGCTGGACGCCTTCCCTCGCCTGAACCTGGAGAGAATGTGGGGCTGGGCTGGGGGTAACGTCAGCGAGCAGGCAGCCCGGCGCTTGGCCAGAGGCGGGCACCGCAGGATGGCTGCAAGCTTGCAGACGGCCACAGGCCTCAGAGGAGGTGTGAAGCAAGCTCCGTCAACCAAGGGTTGCCTTGCAGAAGCTGGGCCCTTGGCTGAGTTGGCAGGAAGTCGGCAAGCAGGTGCCGGCTTTGCAGAGGTGCGAAGGAGTTGGCTGGAAGCAAGTGGAGCCACCAATGGACGATTTGCCTAAACCTGTCACACAGCAGGCTGGTTGGCAGGAAGAGGGTTTTTGGCCACTTTGGTTGCAGGAAGTGGGTTCACCACAGGTTGCTTGGCCAGGAAGCACGGTGCCACGAGAAGCTGGTTTGCAAGCATTCTTTACAGAACAAGGGGCCTGGCATTCAGCCACCGGCTGGCAGGCGAAGGACATGGAAGGGGCTGGTTGGCAGCGCAGGAGCTGGCAAGGGGAGACCACACAGCAAGCAGGGTCGCAAGAACTGAACACATGAGTTGATGGCTGGCAGGGAACAGGCATGCAGGGAACTGACTGGCAAGTCTTGAAAATGTAGCAGATGGGCTGGTAATAAATTGTTTTGCAGAGCTGATCTTCACCACAAACGGGGTGACATGAACCCACTTGGCAGCAGATTGGCTGGCATGGACTGGCGGCACAGCCGGTGGGTGGGTAAGATGTCTCAGGACAGGAAGTCCCCGCAGAAGAGGATGGCTGGCAGGACCTAGCGTCACAGCGGACTGGTTGGCCACCAGCTTCCTGATGCGATCCGGACACGAAGGCAGGTTCCTGGCAGGAGCTCTGTTGACCGGGGCTGGCATCACAGCCCTTCTCCTGACCACCGGTGGGTTCCGGGCAGAGGGCCTGGCGTGGGCTAACCTCGCAAGGAGACTGACCAGTGCTGGATTCATAGCAGGCTGTGCAGGAGCAAATGGGCTGGCAAACAAAACCCACACAAGAAGTTTCTGGAAGGCAGGTAGGCTGGCAAGGAGCAGGTTTACAGTCACCCGGGGCACTGCCGAAGGGCTGACAGTTTTCTTGGCATGTAACCAGTTGCCATGTTCTGCTCTGGCAGGAACTGGGCAGACAGATACCACTTCGGAAGTTGTCACGCTTGGGCCACATGGAGAGGGTGGGCACAGCTGCAATGGCCGTGGTGTTTCCAGGAGAACAGCTCTCCACCATGGGGTGGCAAACTCAGTATACCTGAGTCTGAAAGACATCTAATACACAGGCGCTTTTATAGTCCTTCGCTAGGGTGTGTGGCAGGACAGAGCATTTTTCCTTGTTGTTGTTTCTACTGGTTTGCGTACAAACATCTGATTAGCAGGCTTCAGGAGCCTGGGAGACGTTGTCCCCGCTTTTAAAACTTGTCTGTTGAATGGGGAGTTCTCTTGGCTAAGTTTAGGTTCCTTGACGCTGCTCCTGCCCTGGGATGAGCTGTCGCTTTTACAGGTTGTCCTCCAGCCTCCCTGAAGCAGGCCTTTCCTGGCACTAACCTCTCATCAGGAGGCCGCCACCCAGCCAAAGCAGCCCGCTCTGCTGCCAGCAACGCAGCGCTGCACCATTCAGTCAGGAAATGAAGCCATGACCCAGGTAAGCGGCGGCGATCACAGAGACGGAGAGCAGGAAGTCAGGCAGTGCATCCCAAGGGCATTCCTTCCAGAACCTCCCCGTTTGGCTTCCCTGAAAATCAACCTTGCTAGTACCAATAACAATAGTAATGGCTTCCATTTATCACATCCTTACCCCATACCAAGTCCTTGGCTGCATTTTCCATGGAATCTTTGCAATGACCCTAGTTAGTAGGTGTAATTTTCACCACCATGTTGGCAGCAGCAAAACTAACTCATAATTTAAATGATTTTCCCAAAATTATGCAAGGAATAAAGGGTAGAAATAAGATTCAAACCAAGGGTGGCCTGTTTCCAAAACCCCTGAAATTAACCATCTATTAGACCTCCTGGCTTTAGAGGGGCGGGGGAGAGAGTCTAACACGGTGACTGAAGGCTGACATTTGTGCATCAACGCACCCGCTCACGGGCGGGTGGCCCAGGCCGCATGCTGGGAATCATGTGCCCACTCCGGTGACTGTAATCATCATCTAGATGAGTACCTACCTCCACTCATCAAGGCATCCAAAGCCAATCTTTTAATTTGGAAATTTAAAACTACCAAATATTTTATCAAGAAAGGTTCAACTCATACCATGAAGTCAACAGCATATGAATTCTAGAAGTATAAAAACGCAACAACCAGAAGTGACGTGAAGATCGCTGCAAAGTTGTTTTAGTGTTAAATCAACCTCTTCCAAGAGGGATTTGCCTGGCGCATGTCTGATTCTTCCCCTCTTCCTCTGGGCTGGTCCTGGTTCTGCCTCACCAGCCAACTGCATGGGTCCACGTCCTGGCCTGGTTCACGGTGGAGATGCACAATGGAATGGAAAGATCGTTCATGGCTTTGGGAGGCAGACAGGGCTGGTCTCGATTTCTGCATCTGCTGCTAACTCACTCTGTTGGATCTCTTAGCTCATAACCTCATGTTCAAAGTACCAAGAGTTCATCGACTGCATTGCTCAGGTTATTTTTGTTCTTACCATCTGCTTCACTTTTATGAAAAATGCAGGAAATCCTGGAAGATACTTTTCAAAGTACTAGATACAAAATGCCATCTCCTTACACCCCCCTCACTCTTATTTTAAAAAGAGAAATTTTCTGATTGAATGATGCCTGGAAACCTGTCCCCCTTGTGGTTAAAATGTCTCCCTCTCCGACTTCTTTTGCCCTCATCGCTATTCATTTCAACATCTCGCAAACTACGAGGGTCCCTGCAACATGTTTTATTCCTGAATGTGTACATCCCAAAGCTCTTATCTCCCAAGGGGAAATACCTTCGGTCTTAACCAAGTAAGTCACCAAAATGGAACTTAAATATATTTGGGAAACTACATCAACTTCAATCTGAAAAAAAGGCCAATATGCTATACCCACACATACCACTTCTATTGTTTCAAAGAAATCCATTTTTACATCTATTTTTCTCTAATTCTTTTTTTGCCTCCTTTTGTCTTAAAGAAACTTCTCAAGAGGTTGGTAAAAGGGTACCAACTTTCAGCTATAAGATGATTAGTTCTGAAGATCTAATAGCTATAACATGGTGACTATAGTCCAAAATACTGAACTGTATAATTGAAATTTACTGAGAGAACTTACATGTTCTCATCAAAAATGATAAATATGTGAGGCGATGGATGTGTTAATTAATTAGATGGGAGAAATCCTTTCACTATAGATGTATATCAAATCATCATACTGTACACATTTGATATCTTACAACTTTATTTGTCAATTATACCTCAATAAAGCTGAAAAAATAAATCTCTCAATAGAGACAACTTTCATTTTGCTGTGGTTCAAGGCACTAAGGACATCTAGTATACTGCCAAGGGCTGCTGTGATCACATCAAGACACATGACCATACAGAAAAAACACAGGCTTTGGAGAGAACTAGGTTTGAGTTATTTGTATTTTAATTACCAGCTGTGACTATCCTGAATATTGTGTGTATCATCCCCTCGAGAATATAGATATTTATATATAATATATGGAAGATAATATAATGTATATATTATATATAGTATACATAATATAACATATATATTTGTATATATGTGTACATGCATGTATATATGTATTGTTCCTGAACTTTCGATATATGTGTGTTCTCTGAGATTTGTTTATATCAACCCACATCATTACCTTGATATGGTTCATTTATGTTGCATGTAGCCATTGTACAGTCATTTTTCCCTGCAGCATAATAATCTGTTGCATGACTATACCACAATTTTCTTGTCTCTGTTGATGGACACTTGATTTGTTTGTTCTTTATATTCTTCACCTGTAAAATAGGGGAGAAGAAATCTCACAGGACAATTGTGACTTACCTGAAACACTGAGTCCGTGCTTGGCACAGAGATTTAAAATCTGGCCAACTCCTCTCTTGACTCTGGAAGGAGACAGAGATAAATCCCAATAGCCTGCTGAGACAGCAACTTCAATACCAGTGTCAGGATAAGTTTCACTATTGACTTCCTCCCTCTGCCATTGTATAACAGAGTAGTTCTGAAATAGGAGTGATTTTTGCACAAACACTCTCCTCCAGGTGATGTTTAGCAATGCCTGGAGATGTTTTTGGTCATCACAATCCAGGGACACTACTGGAACCTAGTTATTAGAAGTCAGGGATGCTGCTTAGCATCATACAATGCATAGAAAAGCCCCACAACAAAAAATTTTCCAGCCCAAAATGTCAGTAGTGCCAGAGTTGAGAGCTCTGGTCTACTGATTCCTGTGCTTAGGCTAACCCAAGCTGCACCTTGAGGACAAGGGATAGTCTTTCACTCGTTCTATGTACTAAGTGTAAGGGGTGACCACTTTGAAGAAACTCTGTTCTTAGAGATTGTAAGAGGCTATGTATAGAGTTTATACAAAGAATGTATCTTACAGGGACTAGGAAAACATAAGCAAAGCTCTTGTACAAGAAATCCGGGTTACCTTTCTTAATGTACATGTGGCCTTCCACACTAGTTTTCATTACACTGCAGTTCCCAAAGTCACTGGCTTCCTCCCCAGTCTCCCTATATCCAAGAACATGTTCCTCCTTGCAGTTCTCAACACCAAGGCCCAAGGGACATTCCCAAACAAGGTGCTCTGCACCTCCCTGCCCTGCATATAACTCCCTGATGTCTTCATATCAGCCCTGCACCAAATCCAATGCCTCTGTCCAGCATGCAAGGTCTGAGGAGGGTGGCCCACTGTCTGCTTATCTGACCTCAGAGCGCACCTCTCCTCTAAGCACATCTTTGTCCGGGCTTTGCTTAGTAAACAGTGCACTCACAAACACATTCATTTGTATATATTTCCTCTGCCTAGAAAACACTTCCTTCCTGGTTTCTAACTGGTTAATTTCTACTTGAGCTGAAAGACAGGCTTCAGTATGGCAGTCCCCAAGAGTCCTTCCCTGGTTTCCCCTCACGCCTGACAGAATTCACAATGCCTGCACTTACCTCTCTCCCAGTATTTAGCACAATGGAATATGGTTAACTGTCTCTATGCACCTGTCTCCCCACTGGAGCGCGCTCCTTTGAGAGCAAGGACTGAGACTTTTCTCATTGCTAGAGCCTAACAAAGTCCCCAGCACCTAACAGCTACCTAATAAAGCTCGTTGGATGGATGGATGGAGGATGAATGAAGCTACTCTTAAAACCGAAGCAAGTCAGCTGATGAGAATGTGGCATTAACAAAAGAGCAAAGAAAACAGCATGTCACTTCAACTTAGCCATGTTTATTGGACAGTTAAATATCCTTATCCCATTGAAGGGGCCCCCAAGGAACATAAGCCCACCCAGCAAGGGAGCACACACATGAGAATTGAAAGAAATTTAGGCCAGGAAAGAGGATTGAGATGAGATGGCAAAGCTTGATGGCAGCAGCAGACAGCGACCCCAAATGTCCTCCTTCCGGTGCCCAGGAGGCCTTCATTTGGACCATTAAAATATAGTCATTTCTGATCAGCTCTCGGAAGCAGAAGCAGATGGAAGTGATGGTGCAGAACGGAGAAGATTCTGGCTAAGTCATGGTGAGCTTTGGGAAGGGCCGTCAAGTTTTGTCTCAAGTTGGAGGTTTTCTTTGTAGGAACTGGTGGGCTGAGGTCAGTTCAGCAATTGGCAGGCTTGGTGGCAGCAGGCTGGCCGGCCGTGGCTTCGCGGGTGGTTGGGCTGGTGGATTTGGCCTCAGTGGGCTGGCAGGGATTGGAGATTTCTGTCTTGCAGGGAGTGGAGTCAGCACCATCCCCTAGGCTAGAAGTGGACTTTTTGCGGTCCCGTTTGCAGGAGTCGGCACAAGGCAGGAAGGAGCTCACCGGGCGGTAGGAGATGGAAGTGACAAAGGCTGGGCGGCGCAGGATAGAGTAACAAGAGCGGTAGCAGCCAGGGCGGTAGGAGATGGATGTCACATATGGCTGTCTGTAGGCAAAGGGGCCAGAGTAGATGGGGCGGCAAATCGGGCGGTAGGAAATTGAAGTCGTGCAAGGCTGTTTGCAGGGGCTGGGTATAAAGAAAGTCCGAGGGCAAGTTGGTTGGCAGGTGGCAGAAGCAGAAGACCCCAGGCTGCAGCAGGGAGTCTGGCAGGAAGTAGGTGAGCAGGAGACAGGCTCACAGCAGATGGGTTGATAGCGCTTGACTATGCAGCAAGTAGGTTGGCATGGACGGGGCACACAGACCATTGGTGAGCAGGCACTGGGCTCTGAGCAGATAGGTTGGCAGATGCTAGAGACACAGCAAGAAGGCTGTTGGCAAGGGCTAGAGACACAAGGTGGTTCGCAAGGGTTCGGAACACAGCAGACAGGGCGAAGGCAGACAGGCTCACAGACGAGAGCCGCGCAGGAAGCTGGCTGGCAGATGCTGGGCCCTGAGCAAGATGGCTCACAAGGACTGGGACCACAGCAAACAGCCTGGCAGCTGTTGCCCACAGAGCAGACAGATGGACAGCAGCTAGGGGTGGGGCACACCGGCTGACAGCAAGAGGGCTCACAGACCACCGGTTGGCAGGAGCTGGGCACAGTGCAGACAGCTGGACAGCAGCTGGGCTCACAAACGACTGGCTGGCAGCAGCTGGGCTTGCAGACAATAGGCTGGCAGGGGGTGGGCACACAGAAGATGGGTTGGCAGGAAGCAGCCTCACAGCACACAGGCTGGCAGCAGCTGTTCGTGGAGCAAGACGGCTCACAAGTGGCAGACTCACAGCACACAGGCTGGCAGCAGCTGCTCATGGAACAAGACGGCTCACAAGTGGCAGACTCACAGCACACAGGCTGGCAGCAGCTGCTCATGGAGCAAGATGGTTCACAAGTGGTGGCCTCACAGGACACAGGTTGGGCACAGCTGCTCACAGAACAGGAGGGCTCGCAAGTGGTGGCCTCGCAGCACACAGGCTGGCAGCACTGTGGGCCACAGCTGGATGATCCGCAGCCATCTTGGCAAGTCACCAGCTGCCATGTTTGGCTCTGGCAGGAACTGGGCAAGAAGACGGGCCCTCTGCAGCACACCTCAGTGGAGCAGAGAGCGATGGCTGGCACGGAGGGACATTTCCTAGAACAGCAGTTTCCAGACATGATGGAGGTGCCTCTGCTCCCTTGGGAGTGTTGTGAGGTTGCTACCTGACTGGGACAGCTCTCCGGGGCCCTTGTTTTTATACCCCCTCACTGGTACATGCTGTTTTGAGCTCCTGCATCTTTTTCCTCATTGCTGTTTGGGCCACTTTTCGGAGGAACATCTTATTAGGCCAAGGTTTGTTGACCTGAAGTTGTTTATCCTCCCATAAAGAAGCTGTTGGTTTATTGATCTGCTAAATTTGGGATCCTTGGAGCTACAGGTCATCTTTGAATAAGCATCATCGCCTCCAAGCTGAATGATCTGTGTTTCTGAGCATCATGGACACAGGAAGAAAAGAGGAACTTGTAATTTATCCACCTTCTAGTCCTCTGTACCAAGCCCTGGGCTGGACAAAGAGATGCCCATGTGTCAGACCTACTCACTCATTCTCATTGATATCACTCTCTGCTGGGCAGACAAGCAAGCAGACAAAATCCTTGCAATACAATGATATGCTTAACAGTAGACAGACACACAGGGATTAGTGGAGAGGACCCGTGATGAGCTCTGTGGGATAGGGGATACCTGGGCTAGATGTTAAATGACTGTGCTGTACAGCAATGATTTTATTTAAAACCATTAGTAATCCCATGAGAAAAGGAACCTTCTACCTCCATTACAGATGAAGGAAAGGGAGGAGGGTTGGAATCAAAAAGTTCATCACTTGCTGAAGATCCCACGCAGCTTGCTCCGTACTCCAGAGATGCTCCTCTTCTCCTTCACCATCCTGGCTGGAAAGGCCATTCTCAGGAGCCTCTGTCAAAGCCACATGTCACAGGCTTAGCCCACAGTGCTGTCCTTCATCCTGTTCTGTGAACAGCCTTGCCCTAGACCACCAGCTCCACCTGTCCTTGGAAGTCACCTGGTCTGGCCACTCTGCTTCTGTTTCCTCTTTTCCTTTCTCTCATCCCTACCTCAAGCATCCAGTAGACCTCCGGAGTTCTTCTTGTATTTGGTGGTTTTTTTTAAATTAAATTTATTGGAATAACACTGGTCAATAACATATAAATTTCAGTGTACAACTTTAAAATATGACACCTGTATAATCTCTTGTCCTTGAATGGTTTTAACAGCTCCTAAAAGAAAGACACATCCAAGACCCACAGATTGAAAAAGAAAGACAGGTTTTTCACAAATACATTGTGAACAAAAGCAAAGAGCACAAATGCTTTCTCGAAGTGCTGTGTCTGTGCCACTGCTAGAGACAGACATGAGGTGAGAAACAAACCCTCAGTCTCTAAAGGCCAAGGCCTGGCATCCTTGCCACCAAGGCCCTGCCTTTCCTCCACCATGTGCTCTCAACATCAAAGAAAAAGGCAGCTTCGGAAAAGCTGAATCTTCTTTCCATTCAGTCATCAGTCTTCTCTTTATTCATTAAATTACGCGAACATTTGCTCAACTTCCATTTTATTCATCTATTGAAGCCAGCCATCCTTGGGTTCTGTGTGACGATACAAAACAAATGAGTTGCAATTCCAGCCACAAGGAGCTCACGTTTAGAGGAAGAGACAGACACATCTATAAGCAATTATGGTACCATATACATAAAGGTGCTAGAGTAGCTGGATGCACAGGGTGCTATGGGGACACCCAGGAGAAACGCCAAGGTGGTTTGGGGGAAGTTAGGGAAGGCCTTTGAAGAGCATGATACATTTGGGGAGTACCAAATGGTTCCATAGCTGGAGGAAAAGTGCAAGGGGACAGGAAAGGGTAGTGATGGGCCAGGAGACATTACTAGGCACTCAAACATGAAAAGCCTATGGACCATGGTCACACATTGGATTTTATACTGACACCTGGGAGTTTTAAGCAGGGCAAAACTTGACTGGGTCTGCCCTTTGGGAAGGCCTCCCTGGCTGTGGAGAAGGGACTAAAGAAGGAGGGCAAGTCTGGAAGTGGGCAGATCATTAGAGGTCTGGGGCAGTTACCCAAAAGCTTCATGGTGACAACATAAACTAGGCAGCGGTTTGGGACTGGAGTAATCTGAGACACTTTAAAGAGGCAGAATCTAATCTACAGGACTTGGTGCTGAAAGCGAAAGATTAGGACTAGAGAGTGCCATCCTTTGAGATGTGGTTCTCAGGCAACAGAGGAAGAGGACTTTTAGAAAGCTCTGCAGAGGGTAAGGCAAGGGGATGAACCCAGGACCCTAATCTCCACCTTTGCAGTTCCTCTCCATCCACCTTCTCTCCCTCCGAACCAGCAATGAAAATCCAGACGAAGATGCCCCTCCTCCCAAAAAATCTTTCATAGCTGCCCTCAGCTGAAAAACTTGCATGACATCATGCATTATTCCATAATGTCATCTCCTCAGATGGCTAAATGGAATAAGCTGCTCTTTTAACTACCTAGCCCGGTGATTTTCAACCAGTGTGCTGCAAGAATTTTTAAAACATGCAATACCTGACTATTTAGTCAGGGGCACTGATCTTCTTTCTCTTAGGTTGCCAAATTTTTTTTAAATGACAACAGCCCATACAACAATAACCGTCTGATGTGAATGAATCAAATTTATACCTATTTTGTATGTCATATCAACAAAAACTATATTTTCTGGTGCACCACAGAATTTTAGTAATGAGTTTATGTGTGCCATGAGATGAAAATGGTTAAAAATTCCTGACCTATCCCACTCCTACTTTATTCTTTTTTGCATCTCTTGTGTCCCTTGATGTTATAAGCACCAGGAGGACAAGAATTTTGTTTATTCCCTGATGTATACCCGGCACCCAGAGGAGGGTTTGATACATAGGCAGTTCACTACAAAGATTTGTTGAGTAAATGAGTAAGGACCCCTGTGGAGAGCTAAAAAAGGGCAATTCCCTGTCAGTAAGTCAAAAAAAATAAATAAGCATGGTCATGAGCAATAAAAGAATCAGCTGCTCTTAATTACAACTGCTTAACGTAGACCAATTGACCCCTTGGCAACTTTGGTCCTTTGGCAGCTGCCCTGACTGTGGCTCTGTCCTGCGGATTAAAGAGCCAATACTAAAGAGGCCAATTACAGGCTGAACAAAAATGACCTAAATAATAGAGCCTAAAACTGCACCAGGGCATAGTCAAATCTCAAATACTCTCCCAGGGCAAGATACTGCTAATACTGCTGGAATTTTTAATGCAACAAAGAAAATGAAAACACAAGGAGCTATCACTAGACACTTGCTAGAATGGCTAAAAATACAGAGACCGCCAATATCAAGTGTTAGCAAGGACATGGAGCAACTAGAACTCCCAGATATACAAAATGGTACACCCACTTTGCAAAAACCATTGGGTAGTTTCTCATAATGTGGACCATTCACCTACTATACTATCTACCCAGCAATCCAACACCTAGGTATTTATACAAAATAAGTGAAAACATATGTCCACACAAAAATTTGTACATGAATATTCATAACAACTTTATTCATAAAAGCAAAGAATTATAGACAACCCAGATGTTCATCAGTAGATGAATTTTCTTAATGTAGTTTATTCATACAGTGTAGTTTATTCACTTAATAAAAAGAAACGAACAACTGATAGCTACAAAAACATGAATGAATATTAAAAACGTTATTCTAGGTTGAAAAGTTCACAGTATATGGTTTCATTTATATGAAATTCTAGAAATGGAAACACTTACAGTGACATAAAGCAGATCAATGTTCATCTGAGAGAGGGGTTGGGTGGAGAGGACCGCCTGCAGAAGGGCGCTGGGGAATTTGGGGGGCAACGGAAAGCTCTAGATTTTGAGGGCAGTAACGGTTACTTAAATATATACAGTCACCGAATCTCATCAAACTGTGCACTAAAGTGGGAGTAATTTATTTTGTGTACATTATATCTCAAAATTAATTTATAAAAAATGAAACAGAAAATATCCTACGGCAAAAAAAGTACAAGCGGCATAACCCCAGTTTTATTGGTAAATACTCTTACAAAGGAGCCTGGAAAGATGTCAGTAATAAATCCTGAGGGTGAGAATTCAGGTGGCTATTATTTCTGCTGTATATTTTTCCGTATTTTTTCATATTCCTAAGAATCATGGCTATGTTCATTATCAGAAAATTATTTTTGCTTGTTGAATAACATTGCTTTGTAGGAATAAAAATGAATGCTCTTCTCCCAGGGCAAAAGCAGAGTTAATTTTATTCCCTATATGGCTCAAGGTCACATTCAGCAAGAGTCTGAAGCAACTACCTTTTGGATTTTAACCTCCCAGCTGAACCCACACACACCTGGGTCAGGCCCCACTTGGCAAATGGATGCTCACCCCTCTCACCCCTGGGCTTCAAGCAGAGTAACTATGGCTGGTTCCAGGACACAAAACTCTAACCCAGAGAAGGGAGACTTTGCCAAAGCGTGAAGCTGGAGGAAGGGCCTGAGCTGCCCAGAGCATCCTTAGAACCTGTGTGTTGTCAAAATTGTGCTGCAGGAATCCCTTCCATTCAGAACCAAGTTTGTCTTACCAAGCCTCCTCCTCCAACTTTGCCAGAAAGTTCTGACCAAACCCGAAGTGCCCGGCAGGACCATCCTAGAGGAACTATGACACAGGAGGACACCACGCACCTCACTCAAGGTTGAACTGGGCCATCAGACTTTACCTGGGAGCTTTTAAAAATGCAGATACCAGGGGCCCCCACCCTAGGGCTACTGGATAAAACCTGTAGCAGCAAAGCCCAAGGATCTGCATTTTCAAAAGTCTCCGCATGTGAATCTTGTGTAGCACATGGAAGCTTTAGTCTACCAGGATGGTTCGGTGCATTTGAATTATTTGGGGTTCTTTGTAGAAGCAATCTTCTTGTAGATTTCCAGGCCACACGCGATTCTGCCTGTCTCAGAAAGGGCTGCGGAATCTCCATTTTAACTACCTCTGGGCATTTCTGGTGCTGATGGATCCACAAACTACATTTCAAAAGCCCTACTGTGGACGCCAGAGTAAACTTTCCTGGTCCAGTGCCCAAGAGGGGGCGAAGGAAGAGGCCGCAGAACTAATTTGGTTAAGCCAGCATGCTCGAATTTATTAAGAAGTTAACAAAGAGGAATTTTTGCGTCTCAGAAGCAGCAGAAAGCTGAAGAAGAGGGGTCAGTCCCAAAGACACCTTGAGGAAGTGGATGCCTTACAGTGACAAGACATTCAGCTTCATGCAAGTCAAGCCATGGGGATTCACCCTTCCAGTTCCGGGGACCACTTTGGGTGGCACTGGGTTTTAATTCCTCACCAGCGGATGGCTTTTGTTCTCAGGGCCTTGGAACACCAGGGCGGGCGCAGGAGAACAAGCCTCCTCTACAAATGGAACGGGAGACAGGACACTGCCTTGAGACGTCCTCGAGGCACCGGGTCTCCACCTGGAGCAGGTGGAGGCTTTCCTTGAGACAACCTCGGTGAGGGGCGGGAGGGAGAGGTCCTCATTTCGTGTCGCAGACAGGCGCGGGCTGGCAGCAAACAGGGCCGCAGCAGCCCGTGGAGCCGCAGCAACCGGATCCGCAGCAGCCGCTCCCGCAGCAACCGCCCCCGCAGCCAGATCCGCAGCAGGAGGACCCGCAGCAGCCGCCTCCGCAGCCCGAGCCTCCGCAGCCCGAGCCTCCGCAGCCCGAGCCACCGCAACCGCAGCAAGACCCGCAGCAGGACCCGCAGCAGCCGCAGCAGGAGGGCTGGCAGCAGCACATCTCACAGCAGTTCTCCTCTTGAGGGCAGCAGGTGAAGCAATCCCCGGGGCAGCACCCCATGGTCCCGGCTGGTCAGGGCGCAGGGCAGGAGCGCGGCCGGCGTTCCCCAAGTCTGACTGTCACTAGCTGGACAGAAGCTTTTATAACCCCTCCCCAAGGGTGTGGGCACAAGGGCCAGGTGTTTTATTTTTTGTGTTATTATTTATGCCAGTTTCCACGAGAGCGTCTCATTAGCTGCCTGTTTATTTTCCCGCCCTGAGTACCTCAACTCATAAAAAAGCCCCACTCGCCCCAACTGCTGTTTGTCCAGAGGGTAAAAATACACCCTTGGGCAGACCTGTCATCATGGTCGTCATGGGCCAGCCGTCATCAGCGCCGGCTGGAGAGGGGACGGAGAAGCCCGCGGCCAACTCTGGCTCTGGCGCAGATGCGCCTCTTCCGCGTCTTCTCTGCCGGCAAGTGGCCCGCCAGCTCCTTTTGTCCTGGAGGCTGACCCTGGAAGGCCAGGAGGGGAAAAGCTCGAGGCCCTGTGCCTTCCGCCATAAGCGGAGGCTGCTGAGGAGGTCTGGCCCGGTGGCTCCTCCCAGCTGGAAATGGCATCTTCATCCAGGCCCCCTGTGAGCAAGGCAAATATTTGTGTGTGTGTGTGTGTATGGTATGTGGAGTGTGCCACACGTTTGTTTGGGCTTGGTCAGTGACCATCAATCATGAGTAATAACTGCCCCGTGAAATGCAGAGAGACTCATCATAAAACTGCCCGGGGGGGGGGGCGCGGTGAACGACGTTTCTCTGGGCTGTGTGCAGTGAACTGAACACTCGCCCTGCTCTCTCAATGGGCTGGAAGAGCAGGGGCCAGAAGCCGCAACACCCTGGCCCCAGGCCTTTCCTCGAAAGGAGGAGGAAGAGTTGGAGGAGATAGAGGAGAAGACGAAGGAGGACAAGGAGGAGGAGGAGGAGGTGCTGGAGGAAGAGGAGGAAGGAAGGGAAGGAGGGAGGGAGGGAAAGAGGGAGGGTGGCCACTGAACATCCAGAACACGGCATTAAAGTGGAAATCTGCACTTTTTTTTAAGACCATCTGGCAGAATGAGGGATAAACATACAAAATACCCAGAATATCATCTGGTGAATAAAATGCCATTGGAAGACTAGAATCCACAGAGGATTCAGGTCCATGTGTAAGTTCTGAGATGGGTCAGATTTCCTGTCTCCATTTGGGCTGACACCCTGTTGGAACGGTATTAGCAACTCTGGAACCCGTAAGCTCAGCCCTCCGGGTGGGTGGTGGGGATGGAGAGCTAGATCAAGGGACATAGGCCCCTCCTTTTCAATTTCCTTTCCTTTCTTTTAGATGAGCCTGGAGATAAGGCAAACTCTAGAAAGGGCTAGAAGGACTGCAAACTGAGACGAGGGGAATGGAGACAGGGAAAAAGGATCGATCACTTGGATCTGATATGGCACAGTACATCACAGAATGTGGAATTAGAACTGGAGGAACCCCAAGCAATCATGTGGTTCAGGGTTTCTAAACCAGATTTTATAATCAGAATTGCCTTGGGTGGGGCTATTGAAAAACACAGATACCAACCCGTTCCCAGTTCTGTTAAATCAGACTCTGTGCTCGTCGGAGCTTGAGAAGCTATTATAAAGTTTCACAGATGACTCAGATTATCAAATACATTAGGAAACACTTATATAACTTAGTGCCACCGTGACCATGACCTGCAAGCACTTTTTTTAAATATACAAATGATGATTGCGAGGCCCAGAGAAGACACCTTCGTGATCGACTTAACCACGAATGCTCTGCTTCCTGGTGCAGGGTCCCTCCCACACTCCAGATCCGCAGATGGACACCTCGGGGTAAGCATAACACAGCAGTGCTCAGGGCAGACAATCCTTTTCATTCTTTTTAAATGATAAGCAATGTATTCCTGTGGTCGTGGTGCACAAGAGGTTCAGCGAACAGTCTCCTTTCTCTTCCTGTGTCTTGCCAGGCCGCCTCTCACCCACCCTCCCTCTGTCCCCAGTATTACTGGATGCCCTGCGCCCGAATTTACTCATCTATAACATGGGAATTGTGGAAACAATCTCATAGGGCTGCTGTGAAGGGTCAGTGAATTAGTGCATATACACCAATACAGCACTTAGAACAGTGATTGGCCATGTATTGTTTGATAAACATTAGCTATTATTGACATCCAAAATGATAGTTAGATGTATGTATATTATTTATACACAAATGGTAGCATAATATGCACACTGTTCTTAACTCTTTTTTTCCTCTTAACAAGGTATCTTAGAGCTCACTCCATATCAGTACATAAAGTTGTTGATAGTATTTTATTGTACGAATCATTTATTTAACTCTATTGAAAGACATTTGTTTCTAATTTCCAATATTTTGCTTTCATAAACTTTATTTTTGTAGCATTTGCTATTATATAACTTAGCATATCTTCCTACATCTTTCCCGTAAACTCTTGGAAGAGAAATTGCTGCGCCATAAGTTTTTGTATTTGTAATTTTGATGGATGTGGCCAAGTCACCCTTCATAAAGGCACTGGTGCTCATGCCCATCAGCGACGTGTGAGAGGACCTGTCTCTTCATGCTTTACCAACACAATGTGTTATCAAAGTTGGTGACATCAACAGTCTGATAGGGAAAAGGACAGGATCTTGAAATAGTTTTAATTTGCATTTCGATTATTGCAAATAAAATTAAGCAATATTTCATATGCTGAAATGTTGTTTATGCTCCCTTTTCTGTGAATCGACTTTTCCATTGTCCGTTTTTCTAATGGGTTGTTTGGTCTTTTTCTTTGATTGATAAGAGTCCTTTGTGAAGTAGAAAATAAAAGCTTTATCTGTACTATGAGTTAAAAATATTTTCCCAGTTTATCATTGGCCTTTAAGGCTATATTTTAATAATAATAATGTTTACATTATGAATGTCATACCTAGTTACTGTGGAATTATTGAACAATACAAAAAATTAAAGATAAGAAAAAATCATCTGTAAGCCCACAGTAATAATATTTACTTCCTAATTTTATTATTTTCCTTTCTTTTTTCTAAATATTTGAATTGATATTGACACAACTATAAATGTATATAGATACAAGTCCATATAGATCTGGTACACATTTCTGAATCCATGTTCCAAGGTATGTTAAAAATATATAACTATTTTTCTCTCTGTTTAAACCTATTTCAAATCTTCATTGCAGCTTATGAGGCAGGACAAGTCAGTTCTGTATGGTCAGAAGTCATTCAGGATGTTTCCCTCCCTCCTTCATCTGGAGATGGTATTTGAGTCTGTGGGTCTTGGACAGTGTCGCAGCATAAAAGAGAGTGGCCACTGGTTCACGGTGGGCATCCACCAAAGTGAACATGGTCCTCCCTTATTGCCGACCGCCATCCTCCCTCTGATGGCGCCACCTGAGATACCTGAGTTCTCCCTGCTCTCCGCAAACCATGCATCCTTCCGTCGCCCATCCGGGAGGCCCAAGGTCTTCTCTGTCACTTTCCCCCACCACAAAAGACTATTTCGAATTGCACAAGCTAAGCATTGTCATTCTCTCTGCGTTTCTACAGGAAAAACCCTACGCTGGGCGCACTGAATACTAGAAAGACGTCACTGATGCCCAAGTCGCAAGGAAAGAGCAGCCGTGAAGGAAATTGCAGGAGAAAGGTAAGACCTCTGCTATTTTGAGGTTTCAGCCTGACACATAGTTTTACAACATCAAAACCATATTGTGTAAATTGATTTATGCACTGAATATTGTACTTCACCTGAGAAAAAGCTCATAAATATGTTGATTATTAACTATTATAAACACATGAACATTTATATTTTCATGGTGATGTAAACATCCCCTATTGTTGGATATCAAAGCTGTTCCCAGTTTTCCAATATTAAAAGCAAAAACACTGAGATGAACTTCCTTCAATGTTTCCCTTTATGCATCTTTCTTATCTCCTTAAAATACATGCCTAGAAATGTAATTACTGAATCTTCAGCGTGTTAATAATTTTAAGGCTATGAATAAATATTCTAAAATCATCCTCCAGAAAAATTGTCCCCATTTACACCCATTTCACAGTGCCTTCACTAATACGTTTTTTTAAAATTAAATTTATTGGGGTGACATTGGTTAATAAAATTAGATATCAAGTGTACATTTCTATGATACCTGACCTGTATATTGATTGCACCGTGTGCCCACCACCCAAAGGCAAGTCTTCCTCCATCTCCCTCTGTTCGCCCCGCTTTGCCCTTTTCTCTGCCTCCCCCTTCCTCCTGGTGACTGCCACACTGCCGCCTGCGTCTGTGAGTTTCAGTTCTATATCCTGCATGTCAGTGAGATCGTGTGGCTCTTGACTTTTTCTGATTTCTTTCTTTGTCAAGACATTTGTCATGATTCATAGTCCAATCATGAAATCTGATTATAGTATTTATTTGTACTTATTTCATGATGAGTGCATTTATTTCATAGGCCACTTTTATTTCTCCTTTTGGGAATTATCCGCGCACGCCAATTTTTCTGTTAAGCTATTCACCTTTTCTAATTTATTTATAAGAACTTATTTTATGCTACATACATTAACGTTCCTTTCTGTCATGCACACGTGTTGCAAAATTTGTTCCAAAGTGTCATTTCTTTTTAATTGTGTCTGTGGTGTTTTTATGCATACAATTTTCTTTTTGTACAGGAAAATCTTCCTACATTTTTTTTTCTTTCTGCTGCTTTTAGGCTTTGAAACTTCTTCACCATCCCCAAACAAGACAATTATTAACTTTTAGTTTTTATAGTTGCATTTTCTACAGTTAATGCTGTTATCCATTAGGAATTTATTTTGAGGTGTGGCCGATACTGCTGTACAGAAAATGCCCTGGTATTCCTAACTGGGGGACTTAAGTGCATATTAAATGAATTCTTGGTGTGCAGTAAAGAACAGGGTGGGAGGTGCAGGCTGAGTCATTAAAAACCTAAGCAAGGCATCTATTCTGGCGGCCTCTAGTGTTCACCATGTGCCATTACACAAGCAGCTGCTGCTAT